TATGGTTCATGGGGTCACGAAGAGTCAGACACGACTTAACGACTAAACAACAACAACAACTTAAGATCAGTTTGTCCCCCTTAACCCCTAAACATAAAGAAAAAAAAATCCTTTGATTTCTGGGGGAAAGTTTCAGTTTTGGGGGGAAAGTTTCAGTTTTTAGTGGATGAAATGGGTGACTACCCCAAGGTCAATGGGCTTAAACCCTTTACACTGACCATTTTTCAGCCCTGACTCTTTAGCGAGACGGTCTCCTGGATTGTAAACAAGTGAGCTGGAAGGCTGCATGCCGTCTACAGACTGACTGACTGAATGAATCTTTACTACAGCCAAAGGCCAGAGATAGAATAACTAAGAAAAAAAATTAAATAAAAAGTAGAGTAATACAGGCCATTGTAATAGTTGATATAAAAAGTATGTTGCAACTCTGGGAGACCTTTCACTAACTGATGCCAAATTTTCATGGCTCCTGCATTAGTATTTTGCTACATTATAAATTATTTACAATCTGAGAAAAGGATGAACATATAAATATTGTTAGATCACCCAGGGTACTGATGTAAAAGAGGTAGGGTATAGGCATTATGAACATTTCTATAGATGGTACAACAAAATAACACATGTTGGACTATTTCAACATCTCTAGTTCCACACAAACACATTTCTCAGATGGAATTTTACAGTATCTTCCCTGTAGTAACACCAAACACAAAATATTATGCCTTGCCCAAAAGAAAGCTTTCCTTAGTTTGAGGAATGTCAGCGAAGTGAGATAACTGGCTGTTTCCCAAAAGCCATTTGTCACCCAGGTCCCATTTCTTTGTGACCAGTTATTTACTTCTGCCCAAAATGTGATGCCATTAAATTTTTGGAGAAGTATATGTTTGGTATGGTCACGGCCCAAGACTCATGGAAACTCTGGTGGTAACCCACAAGTCATTAGGGTTTTTTTTTTTATGATGCTGTTCTAGCTTAAGAGGCAATCATCAATCCTTATTAATGGGAGTAGTCCTGAGAGGAAGAACTGCACCTTCAGCTAGTAGTTTAATATCAACTCCATGCCCTAACCTCAATTTTAGGCATCCCTATTTCTAGCCTGAACCCTCTGGGTTGCCAGTGCCCTCTTCAGACTAGAAATAGGGATCTTAGAAATATAGTCTGGATCTTAGAAATGTAGTCTGGAGCACATCAGGAGCATTATTCCTAGCATAAAGGTCCACCTTGGCTTCATACAGTACTTGGGCTATGGTTTTAACAAGACATGGTTTCAAAGAGGCTGGAATTAATTCACCTCCTTTGCTAAAATAGAATCGTTTGATGGCATTTGCAGATCTTAATGCTGTCTGGGAGATGTCTATCTGCAGATGGTCTATCCTTGCTTTAAAGTCTCTATAGTACAATATACATGATTTTCTTAAAACAAGTTATTCATGTTGAACAAGGATAATGATTCACTAAGGATGATCAATGTAATACTTACCAACACTAATGTGATCAACAATAGTATCCGCATCCTGCAAACCCCACTTCTTATAGGCTAACGGAGGTGGCTGAACATTTTCATTGCCTGAAGCTGCAGCTGCCCAATTTATTAGAGAAAAATTAGAAAGAGCAGTTATTTTAAAAATTTTAACATGGATTGGTTGACACATAATACTGACATGAATATTCTGCTAAAATATATTTTAATTGTAAAGCATAGAGTAAATTGTTTGTTCATATTATGAGTGGCAATTCGGCGTACAGGTAGTCCTGGGTTCTGACAGCAATTGGGACCAGGAATTCCATCGCTAAGCAACATGGTTGTAAAGTGCACATCATGTGACTGTGTTGCTTACCGACAGCAATTCCATAAGTCCTGGCTACTGTCATTAAACAAGGACCACATAGATCATTAAGTGAGGACCTCATGTGATCATAACATCCAACTTCCTGCCGGCTTCCCCATTGATTTTGCTTGTGGGAAGCTGGCAGGGAACATCAGAAATAGCAATCACATGACCGTGGGGATGCTGCAACATCATAATCACAAGCCAGGCACTGAGTACCCAGATCGTGATCTCATGACTGCATGGATGCTGTGACAGCCAGAACTCCGAGGACCTTTCATAAGTCCCCCTCATTCAGCGCCATTATAACTTTGAATGGTCACTGAACAAATGGTCGCAACCTGAGGACTACCTGTAGTTAAAGGCCCTGGGCTAGAAACTGGAAGACCATGAGTTCTAGTCCTGCCTTAGGCACAAAGCCAGCTGGGGGACTTTGGGCCAGTCACTCTGTCTCAGCCCTAGGAAGAAAGCAATGGCAAACCACTTCCAAAAAATGTTGCTGTCCAAGAAAATGTGCAGGAAAATTGCAGGGATTTGCCCCTACAATCACCAGGAATCAAGACTGACTTGAAGGCATAAAAAAACCCAAAAACTATATTAGTTAAAGAAAAGCTATTTCATGGCTTAAACCCTATATATAAACTTGCTTGGGAGTGAATCCTGCTGAACTCAATAGACTTACTTCCAAGTAGACACACATAAAATTGTAACCAGTATGGTACAGTAACGAAGTGATCTAAATCAAAATCCTTGCTCAACTATAACATTCAGTTGATAGTCTTTAGAAATCCACAGGATTTTTGCAAGGACATGGTTTACATAATAGCTAGGTTATACATTATACTGTAAATGTATTGGTCTGTTTCTTTTTTCTTCCTGCTAACTGTCTAGAGATATTTGAAAGTTATTAAGTCCCTTTACTTTTTTATGAAACACAACAATCAAAAAGGGATTAATTCATCTAGTTCACACCAGTAAACGCTTCAGGTACCATCATACAAAAAGTATGAATTCAAAAAAATAATAAATGGCCCGACCTTACAAGATTTAGAAGATCTCATTCTTGGTATCTGGCACAATCATACACCAATATGTCAAAATCTTATAACACTAAAATCTTGTAAAATCTCATGTAAAACACTGAAACCTCATGAGAACACACACACTTTCCATATATTATATTAAGCTTGTATTAAATTTAGGAGTTTTATAACACTAAGGGTATCATAAACAGGGCATTGCCATGCCCTGAACAAGCTGTACGGCAGAAAAGTAAAACTGTGTCCTTACGTATCAAGTGTTTCTAAGAAAGATACTATTTAATACACATTTGCTACTGAAAGGCCTACCAAAATAGATCAAAATAGCCCATAAAGCTGGACTTACCCCTGGCCACTTGATTTCGACAAGCACGGAGAGATTGGAATAAGCTAAAACCATCGATTGTCACAATTGCTGAAGGATATAGGATGCTCAGTTCCTCATTCTAAATAAAAAAAAAATACTAATCACTTTGAGACAAAAATAATACACTTGCAAGTATCCACGTATGCTATCCTAATTGCTTTATTACAATTTCTAAGGAAGCACTAAGTTCCCTCCCAGAGAAACAGTTTATGAACACTTCTGCAGCAGCCTCAATATCTGACTCTAGCTATTGTACTAGAGCACAAATAGCTGCCAGTATCAATACAGGTTTCATACAGCACAATCCTCAAACAGTTCGGTGGAGCATAGAATATAAAATATCATTGGTGCGGCCCTGAGTTCAGCAAGCAAAAAGTCAGCGGAACAGTATTATATCTCCAACATTCATATATTCCAACGAAACACAGTACAAGAGACAGAATGAGAGTATGTATATTTAAGGACTATATGGCCTGACTTTAATTCACATTTCTGCAATTAAATCAACAACACAGAATTGGCTGCCAATACTTCATTATGACTTATGTTTGCAGAATATAGCACACCTATCCATATATATTTGTAAAAGCTAGCTAGACTTCAAGATTTACACAGGAGGGAACAGTTAGTTCTGTAACAATTTCAGTGTTTTGTAGATCTGTCTTAATACCTGTTCTGTAACTCCAGGATGCCGTGGAATCTCATAAGTTCTACATTTAAGCTGCAGGACAGGATCTTCATTTAAAAGCTGTGCCAGAAGCAATACTCCACTCTTTAAAAAATGAAAACAGCAACATGTACTACTAATAACTGTACAGGAAGAAAATTCAAAAGCTTTTCTGCTACAATTTAAAAAATCAAATTACCATCTCACAGACCGAATTTTTCCTGCTCTGTATAGGTTGTACGGTTAACTGATTTAACTTGTTTTTAAAAGTTTTTTGTTGTAATTGTTTTGGCTATTTATTTGTATGTGTACAAACGTACTGTATTTATTTGGGGGGGGGGGTTGTGTGTTATTCTTAACTCTGTGAGTCACCCAGAGTCATGCATGTGAGATGGGTGGCTATATAAATTGAATGAATGAATGAATGAATGAATGAATGAATGAATGAATGAATGAATATTATTTTGAAGGATATTGATTGCTTCATTTTTGTTTTTTATGGTTTTTGCCTCCTTCATGGACTTGAATACACATTTACGTCTCTTATCGAGAGATGTTACAGCTTCTCCTGGACTTGTATGGCTGCCCTCCGCAGATGGCGCATGATCCAGGAAAAGGCACATTTGGTGTCGAGGGTTTCCAACAGGTGCTACGTGCCTACCCATATGTATTCTGAATGACATTTTGCCCTTCAAAAATGAATCACTGTGTACCCTAAATCAGCCTGTTTGCATGCCCAGTTCTCCAAGAAAAAAAAATCTGAAAAGAAGCACAGCTGAAAAAAAAAGCCTTTCTGTTAGAGAATTAACTACTAAGGCCTGACAGCACAGAATATACCCTCTAAACATGCAGCGCTCAAGCCACGGGCTAGCCCATGAGGAGGACTAATGAAGTCATGAAGACATGCCAGTATTCTCTTGGGGCAAGAGCTCATATGATACTAGGTACTTAATCATGGGCAAGGTTAATATGTCATGGGAACACACAAACCCAGCCAACTGTAGGGTCAGAGAGAGTTAATCTACCAGAAGGAGCATCAAAGTTGTTTTGGATTAATCTTTTCTCTTCAGCCTTTCTAAGACTGGCACAAGGAGTAATGGTTTACCTAGAAATTCCCTCTCTTCTTTTACTTTGCACTCCCCACAGCCATGGGAGATAAAGTATAGGCAGAAAGAAGTGCAGTTGGTTAAATGTTCCCCAACTTTGTTTATGGTGGCTTTACCTCAGTATAGAAGCGGACATAGCCAGAAGTGAATCCTACAACAATGCAGGTCCAGTCAGGACGGCCTGTGGAGCTCCTGTCTCACATAAAGAACATGAAATAAATTTTATCAAACCTTATTCTCATATTATGTAATAAAATTAATGGATACACATACTCCAGACTTAATAAGTTACTCTAACCTGTTAAAAAAAGTTTGCACTTACCTCTTTTGACTTGCAAGGGGGATGCACAATGCACTGGTTACACATTCACTAGAGGCAAAATATAAAAATATTAAATTCTTCAGAAAAAACTTCCACACACAAGATATAAAAATTTCTTTAAAGAGAAAAAAAATCCAAGCTGCTTTCCAACTATTTTTGACCCCGTTAGTCTCCATAGAATGTGGCCCAAAGGGGCTAAAAAAAGAATGCCTTTAAAAACCTGAACTGTAAAAGTTTGTACATGTGACAGGCCAGCATTCTTATCTATTCAGTCTTGTCCCTTGCTGTTCTGTTATTAAGTGTTAGGAACATACACTTTTTAAACCTAGCAGATTAGATTTACAATCTTCCACATACCAAATTTATATAACAGAATGTGCAAATCCATGCGCGCATCCTTGGGTGCATGAAAAATAACACCAGAGAAGAAGTATGTGCAAAGAAATAGAAGCATACAGTACTTAGTTTTCAGCAATGTTAAATTAATTGCCTCTTTTTCAAAAATGCATGTAAATGGGCGAAATGGTACAAACTAATAATGAAAACAAACTTATCCTGAACACAGAAGGGTACAAAATGTCTAAAAGAGAGAGAGCAACGCAATCTGATAACAAATAGTTTCACTGGAAAAAACACTGAACTAGCGTATTAAACTGAGAAGTGCAATTGCATTCCCTTATCGAGGGCAGGAACTGAAAACCTTTCCACCATCAGGCCCATCTATGACTGTCCTGCCACTATTCCTTCAGGAGCAGCAGCACAGAACAGGATCCACTTCATCTGTAGCCTGCTATCCCTTTGAGGAGGAAGGACAAGGTACAAATAAAGCTGATCCAGCTGGTGATTCTGCAGGAGACTTTCCTTTCAAGGGAGTAAGGCAAGATATGGGGGGTAAGAACTCGATCTTGTGGATGAGATATGCATCTACCCTGTAAAGAATGGCATGTGGAGAACAAAGCGCAACTGGAGCCACCCTCCATCTTCCCCTTGGAAACACAAGCACTGCATCACCTAAAACAATTCAGAGTGGAGAAAGCTAATACAGCATTAGAACTTGCAAAGATTGCAGCAAATTAGTTAAATGGAACATTTTAAATGTTGAAGGCTATTTTAATCATGATTAAAATGATTAAAGCACGACAACTGATTAAGGCTTGCAGTTTTAATTGAGAATATTTTAATACGTTCATCCTTTCATCTTTAAAAAAAGGCGCTGTGCCTTAACAGCTTTTAATAGTTGATGATACATACTCTAATAGTTTATTTCCTCTAAGAATAGTGATGGATTGTGTCTAAGATAGCAATTCCCAATATCAATAATTGCCTTTTCTCTCCTCCCCATGCAGCCTTCAATATTCCCTAAAAAATTTCTGCAATAGGATGGGGAGTAGATCCTGACACAGTAGGCTATATAACATACAACTGCAATGAGAGAATAGATTTAATTAAAAATAAATCTTGACCTAACAGAGTTCTTCTCCATAAGCTTTAAGACCTGATTTTGGAGTATCATGCAACAGTGGATGAATGCATAAGTTGCATTCCACTTCCACAGCCACTGGACACAGTCCATATTTATGTTTACTGTAAATAAAAATAATGTTCACTAAGAACTTTTAATTTCTTATTCTTTCAAAATGTTCAGGATTGTCTATGCTGTTTCAAGAAGCAAAGTTAAGGAACAACAAGCTGCTTCACTGGAGATAATAGGAAACCTGTGGATGTGATCCAGTCTCTGGCATTTCTAAGTAGGCTTGAAAACATACTTTCTCCAAACCCAGAAAACCACCGCTGAGCAATTTAAGGTGGACAGCTTGCAGCCTCCCAACTGTTTATAGGACTTGACTACTCTGATTACTACTGCCCAAACCAGCCACATAAGTTTCTCATTATCTGAGGCAGGAAACGATTAAAAAATAAAGACACGCGGTCAATATAAGTGAAATCTCATTGTCCACTCTTATCATCACCCACTGTGGACCTAGGCCCTTCCCAAAACTTTAAGAACAACCCCCAGGTGTCAAAAAATTATTCAACTATACTATAAATAATGCTGTATTAGGAAACAACAAGGTTAAAAGTAGGGGTTCCCAACATCTTCTCCTTTCCAAACTTACATTTCTTCAACACTGCAAGGACCATTCCAGCCAAGGGAGCCACTCCAGCCAACTGCATATTGCATTTCTTCTTTCCCTTTTTCATTCTGTTTCCATTTTGCTAAGGGGGAGAGAAGAAAAAAATTTGGCAACAAAGTCTTGCTGTGTTTTAATTTCAAGTGAAATATAGGAAAACTTTTTTAAAACTATAGGAAAAAAAAAGAAAAAAAACCCATTTGTCCATCAAAGTACCCCTCTACATTTAGACTGAACACAAAAATGTTAGTGCTGATCCAAATCAAAATAAAAGACTTCTGTTTGCAGAAAAAGACTTTCCTGCCTCTTCTTTTTCCTTTGCAACCTGTTGTACTGTATTCTTTTCCAATTTCTGGAATAGCGTGGGGTATTATGGAGGGGAATATGAAAAACCGACAAAATCATTTTGCAGGGGTATAATATTTTTGCACCTGTATAAGCCACCTTTGAATCCAAGACACAGTTTTAAAATATTATTGAGAGATATTTGGTAACAGTTCCTGGAATGGCTATGATAAAAACTCAACTAGTTTTACAAATGAGTTTGATAACTTGATCATACCACTTTCCAATTAGATTTAAGCCAACACTCTTAAAAAGAACCTTATCTGTTTAAAGTTTGCATACCTACTGATTAAAAAAAACAGTATGGTCATTCACTTTCTTGAGACTACTGCCAATGTCTAGATGTAAACTCCAAAAATGAATTAAAAAGGAAAGGATTACAGACAATGCTTATGTGAGTGGCAGAAAGATTTCTTGTGCATCTTGGTTTGAGCTAGATCATCATAAACAGAGGACAAGGAAGTAATTATGTTAGTTTTCACTGAAGTCCAGTCAACATGGATTAATTTTATGCTCAGCTTCTTCAATTTCACCTTACAAGAAGCTCAGTGATGGTACAACTTGATGCGCCTGAGCATCTGGTGTAATGGAAGCTTATTTCTAGGCCAGATTGCTGTATTATTAAAAAATACCATATCAAAACTCAATACAAACTTGAGCAATTATTTTCATGTAATAAACATCCTTGTGTTTTTTCTTCATATTTTGCAACCTCCTTTGCCACCAGAGTAGCTTTTCAGCATGAAGGAGGGACCTGTAAAGCTGCCTTTCAGTTGAGAATTCAGCGAGTCATCACTGTGACTCCATCCAATTTAATTATTTTAATATCACTATTATAGATATGGATAGCTGGGGGGGGATAGAACTTCAACAGTTCTCAGTCTCCCCAAAAGTCTGAGAGAAGTAAATCATTTTGTTCAATTATTTACATTACAAATAACAAGGCAATAAATTACCAATTGGTATAGAAACCCTATCCACTCTAAATCATGCATACACACATACATGTAACCATTCTTTATCCAGAGAAAATGATAGGCAGGGAGGGAGGGAGGGAGGTCATAGTAACCACCATTTTCAAAGAAAGAAACAAAAGCTATCTGAAAATCAAACTTCTATCTAATCCTAGTACTGTGTACATATATGGTTAAAATGGAATTCAAATTCTAATAGCAAAACTTGAGTAGTGGAATTAAAATATACACACACATACACACACACACACACACACTCTGAAAATACATAGAAAAGGGGTCAAGATTTAAATTTATTAAACTGTAAAGAAAAGAGGAAGTTTATATTTGCAGCTAAAATATCACCATACATTTCACAATTGTGTCTCCTACAACAGATATAAGGGCACTTTCAGAGATAAGTCTGTAAAGCTGGCAGACTGATTTTAATAGAGTAGTTGTTACAAGTAAACAAATCTTCTCTGCTTATCATTCGCATGATAAACAGAAATATCAGTGATTATCAGGGTATGTGGCTTTAATCATAACCTAATCTCATTCAGAATGTTACTTATGAATCTCAATTAAAGATATTTACTTGAATATATTCTCAAATATAACAGCATAAAACAGTATACTTACGGACAAAAAACACTGCTTTCTGCTCACGAGCTATTACCATGAGATCATTTGTTGGTGACAAAGATAATACACAGTCCTGAAGCCAGGAACTTGCTTGTGTTTTAGAAGCTAAGTCTTCTTCTTCTTCTTCTTCCTATAAATAGTGACTACTGAAGTTATTACTTTCCTGAGCAAAAAATAACTATATATAATTTTAAACACTTATGTACAGAAACATTAATAGCATTTAAGAAATACACAAATAAGCAATGTGACCGCAATCTTAATAGGATGGTTGAAAGCATTTAAACATTATCAAAATTATACATTTTGCTTTATTCAGGGTAATATTGTTAGCTGTCCTCAAATGCCATCCATAAAGAGGCAAATCATACATATTTTAACATTATACAATAAAGGATAGTTGAATGACAACCAGTATTTAACTAAATGTAGGCATTACAAATTGATTAACGAAACTTTTCAAAGTTTTTTAATGGATTATTCAAATTATTCTGATACAGATATCAAGCTTGTTTATAAACGATATAATTAGTAATAATGGTAAATAAAAAGGCTTACAGGTTCTTGAGTTTCTGCTTCATCCCAAGGACCCCAACTCTCTTCTTCCCAGTTTGATGATTTACCTAAAATTTACAGAACCTAGTTCAGTTTAGCAAATCACAGCCATCATAGTTATGTGTGCTGAAATAAAATGCTGCATCCCAATGTTCATGAAAATGCGATTATTATTTGAATAATACCAAGGGTGCTTTTAAAATGCCAGAAATCCTCAACCAACAAACTTCCAAGTAAGAAAATGTAAACATCTCTGGAAATTATTTTGAGCAGTCATCCCCAACCTATTGCTCTACAGATAAATTAAGATTACCGTTCTCAAAATTTCCAGCCAGCATGGCCAGCACTTGAAAATGCAGAGATCTATTGTCCCAGCATTTCTGGAGGGCAGCGATGTGAGGAAGACTTATCCAAATATCCTCTAAACACTGTAACAGTAATATCTCATAATTACCTAATCAGAGAATAAAAGTATGGGAGATAATCCCTGCACATTTTTATATTAGTAATGTAGATTCAATTATGCATTGTGGCATATCAAGCAGTTTCCACCTGTTTCAGAAAGTGATGCAAGGAGAAAAAGCTGATTTATAACCCAGTTGAAGAATACCATGTCTCTTTCATAGGTTACTTTAGCTTTGGCTAATAGTTGTGGAAACATTTCTAGACTGCACACTGGCTGACTGAAATGGATCCAAATAACCCATTTCTTCCAGGGTCCTCTGAAGCTGAAGCCTGACCACCCTCTCTACAACCTTTCCAAAGAAGGGAAGGTTGAAGACTGGATGATAATTGTCCAGGACCATTGGGTCCAACGATGACTTCTTGATGAGAGGGCATACCAAAGCTTATTTCAAGGTCAAAGGGACTAATCCCTGCTGAGATCACCACAAAGACCCAAGCATAGGTCACCTCCAAGCAATTTTAATTATCCAGGGGGGACCTAGATCCAGCAAGTCGATGGCCAAGCTTACAGTCTAGAAAACCTTGACCGCTTCCTCAGGAGGTACAAAATCAAACTCGCTCCAGATAACTCTACAAGACCTTATCTGGGCACCTCAATTGGCTCTGTCCTGTTGGAATCCAACTCTGAGTAGATCTGAGTGACTTTATCTGCCAGACAGCAAGAATATTAATCACAGTAGCCCTGTAGATGGCCCCGTAGCCCGTCACTCCCCAACAGGTACCAGGTCACCTTAAGCAAGGCTGCCATATAGCTATCAGCAGATACAATTTCAGCAGAGAAAGAACAGCATTTCACTACCCTTATCACCACACTGTAATCCCTAATATGACTTCTTACTCATGCAATGGGATTCACTCTTTGTCTTCCTCCAATGAAGTTCCAGGCATCTCTTGTTGCGCTTCATTTCCCAGAGCTCCTCAGAGAACCAAGGTGTGCCCTGGGATCAGTGCGAGGGGAGAAGCTTCATATGGGCAAACTGATCTAAGGTCCCATGCCCATTCCAGGCTGTAACTAAGGCCTCAGCTGAACTGCCCACCAGATCCTCATGGAGATCCCCAAACTCCCTCTGGAACCCAACTGGGTCTATCAGTCACCTGGGGCAGTCAAATCTAAAGGCCTTATCCCCATACATACATACATACCTCTCTCTCTCCCTCTCTCTCCCTCCCTCTCTCTCTCTCTCTTTGATTTAATCTTGACTCCTGGCTACTTCATGGAGAGGTCCATGAGGTTTCCTTAGCAACATTGCAAAAATTGTTTGCTGTTGTCTTCTTGCAGGATGTTTTTCAACTTCCCAGTCTAGGGCTGTGAGAGAGCAACTGGCCCAAAGTCACCCAGCTAGTTTTCATACCTAAAGGAGGACTAGAACCTAGGTCTCTCTGCTCCTACTCCAGCACTTTAACCAGACTTTCCTTTATCTCTATCTGCATACTAATCATTTTATCTATCTCACGCTAGTCTTTGAATATACTTAATATGCAAGAAGACTAAAAACTGATATATTACAGCATGTGCAAAACCTTTAATTTCAAAATGTTTTGAGTGTGAAATTTTGCAAAGCTTCCAGTCTTAAGTACAATACCAGCTCTTTGAGCATTTTGGAAGCATTTAAAGCTCAATGTCTCAAAACATTTGAAGTTTGGAATGTTCCAAAATACTTAGACAACACATTTCACACCCAGACTCTTTCAAAGTAAAACAGCCTTAATATATAGCTTTATAGGAGCAGAACCTACTGCTCCATAGAAGGGAAACATTTGCTGCTGCTATATTAGTCTTTTTAGATTCTCACAGAAGGCAATTTACTGAACTGATTCTCACAGTTGAATGAGTCATTCATCCTTTGAATATGATCACCAAAACAAATCTGATTATGTAGTCATTTCAATCACTTCATAAATATCATGTTTACATGGATCAACTTCTCATTTTCCTTTTGACACTTTTTTAGGTTACTGTAGTTCACATACATACACAAGCAAACCTAGAAAGCCTCTGTGATAAATTTGCTTTTTTCTACTATATGAAGAAATAGATTTAAGGAGGAACATAGCAAAGAATTATGGCTTTGTAGCAGATTTCAAGTAGTGTCACTTATACCAAGCAACATTAAGCTATGAAGATTTATAAATCAATCTGTTCTTGTGCTATTTAGAATACGTACATGTATTCTTACAGTTGAAACATCAAACTTTAAGGGTCACTAATTTGCTAAATTCTTGCTATAGAATGGAAACCACAGCATATTTGCATACGAAAATTCTGACTAGATATTCTTTGTATTTTTATTTTAGAAATTCACCACATGAACTATACTGCACATCCAATCATAATTTGAACACAAGCAACTTATGGTTTACTAGTGTCACCCAAAAGCTATAAAAAGTAAAGAGGAAAACTACAAGTATTACATTTAAGTATGTTCTTCTTAAGCACCCTTGTTTTATGTAGTGTTTGAAACTATCCAACTGCCCAAATTATGTAACTAGAATGATTTTCTAAAGTTTCACAACATCAATCATCTATAGCAGGGGTTCTCAAAGTACGGCCCGCGGGCCGGATACGGCCCACCAGGGTCATTTATCCGGCCTGCCCACCTGATTGGCCGCCACTGCTGTCTGTCAGAAGCGGAAGTGTCAGGGCTGTGTCAGGAGCTGCAGGGGGTGCACCAGGAGGGGGAGCGCCAAG